CCGCCGCCGAGTCAGTGCTGCTGGCACCGACCCAAACCGGGACCGGCAGTTCGCCGTCTTCTCACTGTCGCCCCCTCCCCCTCGCTCCCCCGTTTTTGCCTCGTTGGGCGCAGCGCGCCGGGCCGGTGTCAGGGGCGGTAGGTGTCAGCCGATCTGTGTCGAGAGTTAGCTGCGGTTCGTAGATGGTGTCAGGCATTGGTGTCAAAAACTAGTGACCATGAGAGAAGGCTATGTTAAGGGTCAGTGTCTGTGTGACAAAAGCAGCAGCGCGGCTTTCCTGAAGCCCTGGGAGAACAACACTGGTCAACCGTCAATGATCATCCTCCGGCTATACTATGGCTTGCTATCTCACTTTGAGTAGCACCCCGCTACTGAAAGCTGTGAACCGGCGGGGTGACATTGTGCCGGCTCCGGTTCTTACCTCGGATCAGCGAGATCGCGCCTGCCTCGGCTCACCGGGATTGTGGCACCCGACGTGTCAGTTCAGTGGCCGACAAACCCGTCCAACGCGGCTGCTCAACTGAGCCGGTCAGCTAACAGCAGCGCGCTGTAGCCGCGTGTTGGGGTACCGTAAGGTGGGGCTATTTGAGACAGTGGGGCTATTTGAGACAGTATTTAAAATTGCTATTAAATAAAAACCACCTAAAATTTATGCTCAATTTTTTGCTCAGGCGATTTAATGCTTGATTCCACACCTCGCTGAGCAAAACATATCACACAAAAATCAAACTATCTTCATTTTATAGCGATCTTAAATACTGTCTCAAATAGCCCCACTTTACGGTACCGCTCTCTTGCCAGGCTGGGACGGCTCCTCTGGCTGGTTGGGTGGGTTTGGACCCGGGGGTGAGTGTTCTTTAGCCATCTAAGGTGGCATCCTAAATCAGACTGGGACGGGTACCTGGTGAGGCGGGGACGGCTCACCTGTTATTCAGGCGGGATGGTTTTGCTTGTCGGATGTGGAATGCTCACCGTTCCCTCTGGCCCGGTGGACGGCTCTCTGACCGGGTGGGGGCGGTTCCCTACCGTGTGGTGTGGGTGACGGTTACATTATCGCACAGCGCCCGTCCCCGAGCCGAGCTGAGCTCGTCGGATTGGGCGGGTCGCGGCAATACCCTGGGCAGACTGCTGCGAACTATGCTTATGTTACTTCGCGTCTGTTTGAACGATGCTCGCGGCGGTCGCATGTTCAACTGCCTTATCCCTCGTCCTCCTTATTCTGGCTCTCCTCTGGACATTTATAAAGCGCCCAGTGCCCGGCTCAGACGGAGGGCAGCCGCACGGCCCGGTCCCATCTAGCCGACCGTATATGTAGTCATGTGCGCTGAGTGGTGTCCGATGACCGGCTGGTCACTGTACGACCACCGCGTGGTCACGCCCAATCTCACCAAGTGCGGTAAACTGAATTTGGGGTAAAATACCAAACTACCCCACTCCATAACTACAAAAATACTACCCCGAAATTAGTTAAACTAGCTTGGTGAGGTTGGTCACTTGGCCCAATCTCACCAAGTTATGTAAACTTAATTTTGGGACAGTATTTTTGTAGTTACGGAGTGGGGTAGTTTGGTATTTTACCCCAAATTGAGTTTACCGCACTTGGTGAGATTGGGCCCTGGTGGTCACCGAATGGTCACCGACGCCTGACCACCAAATGGATACTGAGCGGCTACTGGCTAGCCACCGAATGGCCATCAAATAGTCACTGAGTGGTTTTTAGTGGTGACCGACGTACAGGTGTGGTGGCAACCGGTCTTGGGAGTTCCTCGGATACTCCTGCCGGTCCACAAGGCTTCAACCGAGCAGGTCCTTCCAGCCTTCAGAGCTCTTCTCTGTCTTCCAGTCATACTAGCTCATCTCGGACTTGTAGTAGGACTCTTAGCTCCTCCTGTCCCGGTGGATCCTCCCGAGCTCCACCGGCGGGCCTCCACGGCCCGTCGTGCCTCTGTGTTTACCGTGACGGACGGATGACGGACCGCCGTCCCCGTCCCTCCCTCCCTCCGCGCCGTCCCGCGGTGACGAATAACGGACCTAGCTCCGCGGCACACCGGCCGGCCTTGTCTGTGACGTCACCCGACCCGGTGTGACGTCAGCGTGCGGTGTATGGCGTCACCACAGCGCCGGCTGGTTGTAGCAGCAGTGCAATGGTCGATGTATGCAGTCGAGGATTGCAGAATTTATCGCGGTCGACAGGATCGGGTGGTCCGTGCCGTTCTGCCGTGGGCTCGCGAGCTCCACTGAAAGCTCTGGGCGTGGTGCTGGGTAAGAGCTTATTTGTCTGGATATTCAAGCTGACTGGTTTTATCTCGCCAGAGCATGACAGAAGTCGGTAGTGTGGACAGTTTTTGTTGTGGTCGATACTGTCCAATTTGTTCTTGATGTCGTTGCACAGTTCTGAATATGACGGCTTCGTGGTGCCCTCGTGCTTTGAGTTCGGTTATTACTTATGACGTTGATAATGCAGATTGCCAGCAGCTTGACGTTGACAATGGAAAGAATGGGCATTTTTTTGCAGCCCCGATGGAGTGGCGATGTCCGAATGTCCATGAATACGCAGGTCGCCTCACATCCGCATTGCTGTTCCTGTAAGGCTGTCATGAACCGCCCTGCCACCTGGTGGACGCAACGATAAAGCAGGTGGCTCCAGGGCTGGGCAGCGGCAGGAGTTCGAAGTAACGCTTATTGTTGCGTCCAACAGATGGCGTTAGCTGCACCTCTATCACCCAAGTTTGCTGACCGCAAGGGCTTGTGAGTCACGTATGACAGAGGGCAGCTTTCCTTCCTTAGATGGCGGTGGTGTAGATATGCCTCGTGCAAATGGGCACTCATGGTGGCAACTGGCACTGGCGGGTGGAAGCTTATGTTTGATAGTCGATTGGATGCACCCTAGTCGCGATTCCGCGGTGGCCATGATCAGCTCAATTTGAGAGCAGCGGAGATGAGAATGCGTGTCTCGGGCTGTTTGGTATGTCCTATATGCTTATAATTTTGTAAAATCTCTTACATCTCCCTCGCTTTTCCATTAGCGACTCTGGCAGCTTACATCGTATTCAGCCAGTGGGTCTGAGCTCCCCTACTGTAGACATAGACCTGGAACGGTGTAGCCGACATAATTTCAAGGCCTTCCGTGTTCAGTGGACTGTTTCCATTCCGCCTGAGCTCTATTGATGATTCTGCGTGCGCGGTGGTGACGGCGCCTATGTCGGCCAACGTCAGCGGTCCCCGCCCCCGCCCCTGCCTCTGCCCCTTCCCTCGCTCCCGCCCCGCTCATCTCCGCCCCTACCCTGTCCTTGACCCTGCCACCGTACGTTGGGGTTCAGTTGGATCTGTATCGCAACATCGGCGCAAAAACGACTCCGAATATGCGGCGTTTGTGCCAAGTGCTACGCAGTGCGCACTGTTGCGTCCTTTTCGCCCTTGAAGTTTGAACGGCTTCCTACATTTGTGTGTGCAGCCGTGGTGTTTTGATAACATTTGACGGTTGGTTGAATTCTCATCATAAATGAACTCTTAATAAGCTTATTACGACTGAGCTTAAAATGTTGTGTGCCTATTCCCTTCCCATCGTCCCACATTTACCACATTAAAGTAAAAAGAGATATCCAGTTTTGCCGTTTTTTTTTCCAAAAATCGCTTCACAGGATCAGCAGGCGTTGACAATGTCAATTATCACGAGTACCTGTGCCACCATTGGGCAGCCGATGAGACCACCCGTGTCGGCGTCACGCCATTCTGAGGAGTGCCGGTCAGGCGGGTTCGGTTCTGCCGGTCACTTACCGTGCTGATGTCACCGTGACCTCATGGCGGAACTTTATCTGCGGGACATCCTGCCTGTAGTCGTCGTGGGTTTGTCCGGGGGTCTGTATGTGAAGTCTGTTTTGTGTTTTTTTTTTCAACGTTTTATTTCCCTTAGATTGTGGTCCGTGGAATGTCCCCGTTCGTCTGGTGGGGAGGCCCTAGATCTAATACCAGTGCTGCCGTGTGCGATCTCTGTGCTCCGGAAAAGGCTGCGTTTTTCATTGTGTTTAATGCATAATAGAGTCCGACTGTTTTTTGATTCTGCTGACAAACGCGTGCTGTTGGACGGGAAACTCGTATTTTGACGAGGTAATCCCATCCTAATCCAAAAATATATGCTCTTATAGCAATGTAATTGTTATTCAGGGACCCACTCATTCGATGGTGTAGTCCCAAATTAAATAACAAACAGAAGAATGTCAGCTATCCATTTGCGCCGGTGTCCGCCCTCCTTAGATGGACGGATACGCCGGCTGGTGGGGCGCCGCCCGCGCCTGCAGACGGCGGGTTTCGTGACCGACCTTCTGGGCCGGCCGGTCGGCGCCGAGTCCGACCGTGCGCGGCCCGACGGCGGCCCGTCTCTCTGTAGAACGGCCTTGATCGGAAGGGCGGAGTCGCCGGCCGCGCGGCCGACGTAGCCGGCACGCCGACCGTCGCGGTGACGGTGCGGCCGTCGGACGATGGACTGGGAGTGGAGACTCACCAGACGGCAGCCACAATGACTCAGCGATGGACTCTGGAGTCAAAACTCACCGGACTACAGTCGCGATGATTCAGCAACTGACTCAGGAGTCGCGACTCAAAACTCACCAACCGGCAGCTGCGGCGACCCGACGGACTCGCGCGGGCCACCATCGAGTCGTGCACGCGCCTTATGTGCTGTCCTGGCGGTCGCGCCATCCGGGACACCGGCCGTGCACAGCTGTGGGAGGCCCTACACGGGGCAAACGCACCGGTGTAAGCCCAGTCAGCTGGTGGGTGAGGGTCCTGGGAGCATCCCAGTGCCGGTCGGGAAACATTATTGTTTTCGTTTCGGGTGGTGTGCAGTTGTGCGTTGCGTATTGCCGTATCGGGTGTGATACTGCTCATCGGACTGGCTGCAGCTGCAGCGGTGTGCGGAACTTGTCTGTCACCTCCCGTGCGTCTGTCTGTCTGTCTGTCTGCGAGCGCGCGTGTGCTAACACAGGCGGGGCTGGCGCGGCGGCTCGGCTGGTGGCGGCGCCACGCGGCGAGTGTGGCGCGCTCTGCCGCGCCGCCAGTGCCGCGGCCGGACCAGTGAGAGGCGTGACGCGGCCGGCGGCGGACAGCTGGGCGGCCAGCCGGCGCCGCGCGTGGGAGGAGGCGCCGCTCAGTGCCGCCGCGATTGTGACCAAAGCTGACACGGGACGGCCGGTGTCCCGAGTGAGTGTGACGCCGGGCGTCGGCGGGGGTGCGCGGTGCAGTGCGGTGCGCCGTGCAAAAAGGTGTGTCAGTGCTCACCCGGCGGGGTGCTGTAAAAAACGCCGACCGCGCCCGACTGGGCGGAGGCCGGTGCCAGCGTCAGTGTGTGCGTCTTTCGCGACCGTCCGTCTCACTGCGCCTGGGTGGTCCGCGCAGCCACCCTGGTAGCGCAACATGAAGAAAATCTTCTCTCGGGTGGCACACGCCTTCAAGCACGATGCGGGGGCCGAGCAGGAGAGTGCGGGTGAGGCCGCTCCGCCGGCGTCACCGTCGCCGGCGGCTGTCGAGCCCGGCGAGCACGCGTCACTAACCTCTGTGGACAGTGGCGTGCTGGTGGACGTGCACGAGCCGGACCGGAGTGCGGGCGGCGCCGGCGCCGCGGCGGGGGCGGAGCCGGTCGCTCCAGTCACGGACCCGGTCCCGGAATGTGCTAAGCCGGCAGCAGGGGACGGTGCCGACGGTGCAGCGCCTCCAGAGGTCGGGGCGACACCGGACGACACCTCACCTCAGACCGCCGGAGGCGCGACCCAGGACGGTGGTGAGGGGCAGCTGCCGTCGCCGTCGGCAGTCTCAGCCGCGAGCACCGCCGTTCAGGGAGAGGAGAGCCCTCCTGGAACTGAGGAGCAGGGTCAGTCACCGTCGGAGAGTGTGCAGGAGCAGGACACTGCGACTGGAGTGTCACAGGAGCAGCTGGAGCCCTCAGCAGCTATCGATGAGCAGGAGCTTCAAGCTGCAGCGGCCCAGGAGGCTCAGGAGACTGTGGAGGCAGTCAACGAGAAGTGGCTCATGGCTGGAGTCGAGGAACCGACTGCACCCACACAGGAACAGGATTCCGCCACACCAGTACCTCAGGAGCCGTCACAACCCACAGCAGTCGCTCAGGATCAGGAGAGTGCGTCTGGAGCGGCGCGGACCGGCCAGGAGCCGGCGGCTGTGGAGCGGCCGTCCGGTGACCTTCAGAGCGGCGGCGGCGGGGCGGCGGAGGCCGATAGTACCGGCCCCGGCCATCCGGATCGGCCGGGCTCGGCCGCCGAGCCGGCGCCGCAGCCGGAGCCGCTCCGGCGAGAGCACGCGGAGGCGGACAGTGTGAATAGTGGGCAGAGCGGCCGTCATGCGCCCGACGCTGGGAGTGTGACTGTGGAAAGTGCACAGGTGGGCGGCGTGGGCGAGGCGGGCGATGCGGTGGCCGCGGATGGACCGTGTGCGATGGAGGCAGAGTGTGGGAGCGGCGTGACAGAGGGGCCGACCGTGACGCCGGAAACGGCGGCGACAGGTGGGACGTCCGTGACGGATAGTGACGGTGTGCTGCTCGAGACCGGCACTGAAGATACGGCCGATGACCTGGATGGCAAGCCCAAGGAGAAAAAGAAGAAACGCAAAAAGAAGAAGAAAAATAATCCGGAAGAGCCGACGTCAGTCAGTCTTGTAGCTGAGGCTGTTGTGAAAGAGGCTGACGAGCGTGAACTAAAGCCTGCTTCAGCTGAACAGGCGACTGAAAAAGCCAGTGACAGTGTGAAAAAGGCCGCTGCCCAGCCGTCCGACCAGACAGTTAGTGATGACTCTGCACATTCGAAAACTAACAAGACCAATACCAAAGTCTCGAGTCGGCTCACAGCTGGAACGAAGGCCTCTGCCGCCAAGGCGAAAAAGTCGCTGGCATCCCAAGCAGCCAAGAAACTGTTGGATTCCGCTGCCAATAGGAACGGTCCGGCAAAGGCGAAATCCACTCTGGCAAAACAGCCCACAGCTGAGGGGTCCGGTAGCCGGTCCAGCACGCCGACGCGGCCACTCCAGAACCCGGCCAAGTCGCGGCTGAAGACGCAGCTCTGTAAGGAGGCGTCCATCGAGAGCAACGCGTCAGCATCATCGGTGGGCTCCTCGACGGCTCGGTCAACACGCACCGGTAAACGGAGCGGCGCGGCCGGAGCTGATAGGGGTCGGGGTGCGGCCGCCAGTCCTGTGGACAGGAGGGACTCGCTGCCCCTCTCCGTATCCAGCGGGTCCACCACCGTCTCCACCCGCGGCGAGGACTCCTCCGCTAGAAAAGCCAGGGCCAAGAGCGCCAAGCAGCAGGTGGACAAGAGCGAACCTGCGGCAAGGTCCTCTACACCAACCGCGAAAAAGAAGAGCAACGCTGTCCCTGCAACGAAGACGGTTCCTGAAAAGAAGGCGTCAGTGGCTGGCCAGACAGGAGCAACGAAAAAGGAGAAGAAAACAAAGATCTCGCTTGCGAAAGACAAGGGGTCAGGAACGAAAAAGATAGCTGCCAAGAAAGAAGCGGACGATTTGAAAGCGAAGCAATCTACAACTAGCCCTCCTCGGGTACCGGAAACCGCGGACTCTGCATCTTCGGAAGTCTCTGCGGCTACTGGAAACTCCGGGGAAACTGCTAACGTCAAGGCAGCTGAGGTGGTCGGCCAGCCAGTCAGCAATTCTCCCGAATCGTCACAGCTTCCCGACTCGGACAAGACAAATGCCAATGCTGCTTCGGCCCGACTTCAAGGTTCGGAAGCAATAGAAAACGCGCCTAAACCAGTTGTGGCAGAGGACGCATCAACGACGCGTCCCAAATTGACCCAGAGTGACACCATACAAGATTCAACCGACCGGCCACCCTTGACACAACATGACACCATACAGGATTCAACTGAGCGACCACCTCTGACACAGCATGACACAATACAGGAGTCCACCGACCGGCCTCCGCTGACACAACATGATACCATCCAGGACTCCACTGAGCGGCCCCCGCTGACCGAGCAGGAGACACTAGAGGACACGTCGGTACTGCGACCGCCCCTGGTGCAGCACCCGACGATCGAGGACTGTCCCGAGCGACCTCCGCTGACGCAGCAGGAGACCGTCGATGTTCCTGCACCGACTCCTGCTCCGGCAGACCCTACTGTGGCAGCGGAGTCTTCTACCACCTCCGACTCCCCGGCGGTCACCAGCCCTCCAGCCGAGCAGCCAGCATCACCGGCAGTCGAAGAGGCGGCTGTGAAGGAGGCCGCTCTGCCCCAGGTCACCCTATCGCCCTCGAAGACGGCGATTCCGACATCGCCTTCGACGTCGGCGGTGCCTACGTCTCCGTCTGCGGCGGTGTCGGACGTCAGCTCGCGGCGCAGCAGTATGGACCTGCTGGACGGCCCGCCGCGGCTGAGACGGAGCATCAGCGGCCACGGAGAGGCGGCCGGCACGCCGCGGCCCGACGCCGTCCTCGAGGTCATGTCGCAAGTGCACGCCGACGTAAGTGGGACGAGTCGGGCGGGGCACACCCATCCGGGGCGGGGTCGGACGGGGTGGTAGCGATACGGGTTCATGCGGGTGCGGCGGCGCTGGCGGTTTCAGAACGGGGTGGCCATGAGCTTTGCAAAATCACCTGACGGCACGCATCAAGCAATTCTTTAAAGTGTTCAACATAACTAAACCAGTTCAAAGCGCCGAGAGCTGGGCCGGTCCAGATATTCAAACAACTGTCCATGTTCCGCTTACCTGTCACCTCTTATTTACCGGGAAAATGGAGTAGACCGTTGCGTTGAGTATGTGTGACGGTATGGTGATGTTGGACGATTTGCAGCTACTTGCCGCCGTCATGCTACGCTGACAAACGGTTGCAACTCCTTTTGGAGTCATGAGATCTTACATAACACTCGTGTCATCGACGGAAGTCATGACGCGACACCTTTCTTTCTTTCCGACTGCTAAAATTCCTTCTGTGGGCACAGATGTTTGAATGGGTGAACTTTTGCAACGGCGAGCAGGCTCACCATTCAGCTGCATTCATCGCGTCTCTGGAAGACAGTTGTTTACTCCATGCCTGGTTATAGCGAGTTTAATGGGAGGTCTGTTTCCTGTGCATCCGACGCGAGGGTGGCCGGCCGACACGTCTGCGATGATGAATCACGTGGTGGGTGCCGTCAGACTGGCTGAGTCACGCAGCTGTCACCCACCGGTGACGTCACGGGTCACGTGGCCGGCGTGACTGTCCGGGTCAGCGCAGAGGGCGACTGACAGGCAGAAGGGAACATACGGTCACGGGACGCCCGAGGGCGGGCAGACGACCTGCCGTCGTCAAGTTAGGGAGGGATGTCAGAGATCAGCGGGTAACAATTTGAGTAATGAAGACGAATTCACAATACTTTGTGGCAAGAATTTGTCATTGGAGTTGCCCATTTCCCACTTCCCAGAGTTGGGTGCAGTCTTCTTAATCTCCCTGCACCGTCGCTCCGTGTTCAGCTGGGGGTGCTGCTGCTGATCCAGACATAGTAGCAACTAAATACTAATGCTATATCGGTGCCTGCCGCTAGGTCTCCCAGCTGGGTAGCTCAGTCCACAATCATCGAAGGCCGTGGTGGGTCGGTCGGCCTTCAGCCGTCTGCGGTCAGGCCTGGTTCTTGTCACCCCCTGCAGTGTTTAGGACACTGTGCGACCCGCAGCTGGCGCACTGGTGATCTTTTTTCCGTCTCCGGTCCTCCCCCGCCCTTCACAGGTCAGCGCCGATGAGCTGGCTAACTGACGGCATGGGTCTGAAGGGAACAATCCTGCCTTATAGGATTGTCCAATATGACAAAGGCATTCTGATTGTCTTGTGGGGCTATGTGCAACGGTACTAAGAATAACAGTGTTTCTTTGAGCAAACTCGCCGTTGATATTTAGAAAAGACTGAATGCTGTGAGTCCTCCCTCCCTTCGTCATATCGGCCGAAACTGGTGGCTGGCTTTGCCTTCTGGGGCAGTGTTTATGTTGATGAGGCCTTTGTTCCAACGTGGAAAGAGAAGGGAAGTGACGATGTTCCCACGCTCTGATTTTCACGCCTGTCCGCCGGACTGGGCTGCTAGGCTCTGCGGTGGAGATTTGAATGCCGATCGGCTGAGTTTGAGGCACGCTGCTGCTAGCTGTCCCATAGAGACAGCTGTATAGTGCTGCCGGTTCAGTTCGTCCTCGACGTTTTATGTCAGCATTCCCTAAATGCCACTGGAAACAGAACGGACGACTATTGGTCAGCTCTAATGTTTACATGCAAATCGTTTCAAGGCGTACAAGTATACAAAGTTTGCCTACATCATTATCGACTTATGCTACATCATAACGGCATAACCCACATTGACTCAGAACCGTCAATCGGTCGCTGAATGCGTCACAGCGCAACTAACGCTCCTGAAACCTCCTGTCGACTGCCCTGTGTCGAACCTGTGCGATGTCCGCCATCAGCGGCTGCCGGTCGCTGGGTCTGATGAGGTGACCACAACGGGTGGGAAGAACACGGACTGCCTGCCGCAGTGTCCCAAAATTATATTTCGGCTTGGGTGTCGGAGGGGAATATTCATCACTACAAAGGGGCTGTGAGAGTGGAAAAATGTCAGTAAGAGGCACACAAAAAAGAGCGCAAAACAGGGATCAACAATTTATCTGTGGATGTTGGAAGATGTGGGAGCTGCTTTATACTAGATAATTGAATAAACTATGGAGGGAGGTAGAAGGTACATGCAGATGCTTTTTATTGGAAAATAGGTAGTGAAAAATTGCTGTGGAAAATTGGAGGTGAGAGTGGAATATTATTTTGATTTGGATGTCACTTCCCACCCTAACTGAGAAATTTTGGGACACTGGCCTGCCGGCGAGGTCGCCGGTAACGGTGAGGGTCACGAACCGCTCGGCACGGGGTCACGGACCGACTAGCCGGCCGTCCAGCTGACCAAACTGCCCGGACCGGACGTGGGATTGTGTGAACCAGGACTCCCAGTGGTGCCGACGAACCGCTAAGTTTAGTTTTTGTTGTGATCGATTGTGCAGACAAGAGTTCTGCTTATCCAGTTGCTAAACAGAGAAGCTTTATGCATTACTTTGATCCTCCTTAGACCGAAGTCTGAATGATCTCACATCCGAATGCAGCTCTTTTGCTGCCACTCCTATCCAAGTTTTTGAGTGGTGATGTGAAAGTTTGCCCGGGAAGGGTTGCTGTCAGCTGTCTCTCACCTTTTGATACGTTAGTCAGCTGACTGGCATCACCTGATCGATATTGGTCAGCAGACAGGTGGCCATTTCAGATACCGACAAGTGGCCTTGCCATGGCCAAGGTTCAACTGCGTACATGAGTGAATCCATTAATGATTGTTCGCATTTACTTTCTCATGGTCGCTGCGACCCATCCTTGCGTTCACATCTGCCTTCTCATGGTCCCTCTGACCCTTCCTCGTAGATGACCCGAAAAGGGCAGACGTTGACTGCATGCCTCGCGCATCCAGCATACAAGGGGCATCACGAGCTTTTTCAAGCATATCATCAGGTATTTTTATGCCACGTCGGGGAGATTCCACACCGCCCTAATAAGTAGCGATCTGTCTGTCGGCCGGGAAATTTGCAGCACGTCAGCCCGTGGATCGCTGCGGCTCATATGGGCGGCCCTGCGTGGACTGATGGAGCGCTGTGTAAGCAGACTGACGTGCGCCTCTGTTGACTGTGGGTGGAGGGCGCAGCTACCGGACCGCTCTATTGGTCCCCGATAGAGCGGTGGTCGAGTGTCACTGTCAGCCGCTGTGAACGACCTATCTGCACGGCTCGCGAACGCTCCATGCATGTTGCGGGCTCACCTGTAATTGCTGCTGCCTTCCCCCAGATTCACTGGGTCGGACTGCAGTAAAGTCTCGGACTTTCCGTCCTTTCAGCTCTCAGGTTCGCCTCTTCTCATGTGTGTCGCTCAGGTATGCCCTGCAGCTGTGCCAGACGTTAGCTGGCGCTCACGGGACTGGCATGTAGTCAATGACAGACAGTCTCAGACCAAACTGGCTCAGACATGGAATTATCTGAGGTCAGACGGCGGCGTCTCATCGCTGTGTGCCTTTCGGCCTACCGTTCGGACGGCCACACGGACACAGAGTCTGGTGGAATTTTGCACCTCTGACTCGACAAACAGCGCGCCGGCACGTCCGGCGTGACCGGGCACGTCTGCCGTGGCGGAGCACGCAGAACGGGACGGCGCGTCTGGTCGGGACCCGGGAAACAGCGCGCCTGCATGGCGAGTCTACAGATATTCATTACACAGTGAACAGACCAGTCCGTCCCACCAGAGCATGTATAGCGAGACCGGGCATGTCTACTATGACGGGGCACGCAGACAGTTTTGCTGGTGGGATATCCCTGCCACTATAAAGCACGACCGGTCTTTGCCGTTCAGTTCTTCTCACCACAGCACGTCGCTGCGGCACGCCGTACGAAACCGCCCGATCAGCCGCTCGGCAGGTCGGCCGTTAGGTCGGTGGGTTCGGTCGTCCGTTCCGGTCGGGGTCGGTCGTTTCCTGTTGGATGAAAGCGGCACGGCTCGGCACGGTGGTGCTACGTCCGGTGTCATTAGCGGGAGCTGGGTGGTTTACGGCGTACTGAGGGGATGGTAGGGGACAACTGCGGTTCACGGTACAGGGGACAGTTGGATGTCAGTGTCACCCAAAGCAAGCAGCACACATGAGAGGTCGAAGGGATGGAGTAGTGCCTCGTTATAGAACAAGTGAAAAGAGACAATTCACCTTTATGCTATCGCTCGCCTGCTGTACGTTTTTTTTTTTTTTAGCTGCAGTGATGCAGCGAGGTCGCCGGCACGCTTCGTACTCAGCCTCAATTTGTCTGCCGCCTGTGTACGTTGATTCACGACTGGGTGTCTCCACAGGCCGTCGGAGACGGGCGGATGTCTGTACGGAGGCCGGTGGGGACGGGGCGTTGTTATATGTCAGACGGTGGCGATGGATGGACGCCCCCACCGTCCCTCTCACTCTGTCCCCGCGGGAGAGGCTCGGTCCGTGTCGGAAGGGGCGGGACAGAGGCCGAGGTCACAGGCCGATCGATTTTTGGTACACCCGTCGACGGAACACCTGCTAGTGATGCGGTGTGATTACTGGTGACCCTGTCATGTGAGAGGGTGTCTCATTCGCTCAATGCTGTCTTATCTGGTGCCATTTCTATCACATAACGTCCGTCTTGTATCACATTTTTCGGTGCACTTATTAGATGCTTAGGATAATAACTCTATGTCCCTGCCCCTGACCCTGCTCGACTACCAACTCCGTTGCTCTTCCTGATCCGACCTGACCTGACCTGATTTGACCTGCCCGTCCCTCTCTGTTTCAGTCGGAGGCACGGCTGGCTGCGCGGCGCCAGGCCCGCGCCGAGGCTCGGGAGATTCGTATGCGCGAACTGGAGCGGCAGCAGCGCGAGGCAGAACAGAATGGCGAGAAGCTCGACGACTTCTCAGGTGAGCAATGCCAGAGGAATAAATGACAATGGATAGGGATGAGTGGAAGGTTTGTAATAGATAAGATGAGGAGTGAGGTCTGAGGATGGAATGGGTGCATGGGATACGCTTGGCTTTCTGTGGTTTGACTTCGTTGAATTCCTCTTTTTCTTTCTTCAATCTGGTAGGCATTATGCTCAGTTCGTGGCCGCGTAACATGCCATTGCTGGTTTATGCTCGCTCACGGTAACTCAGCAGCACCTCATCTAATAGGGGGCGTTGATACTAGAGATGGAAATGACTAACGTTTTCCAAAATCTTGACTAATGACTGACTAATGACTAATGACAATTTTGGTTGACTGACTTTTGACTGACTAATCTGTCGTCTCAAAAAGCTTGACTGACTAATGAATGACTAACGCCATTTTTCTCGATTTTGACTAATATTTGACTAAATTTCGGAATTTACAAGTAAAGCAAGTTTTTTTCGCGAATATCTAAGCTTCTAGAGTCTAGACGTCTGATCGACACTGAAAAACATCAATCGATCCCAAATTTTCTCCCTAATTATTTCATGGCCAACGCGATGCGAAGCGAGCGCAAAATATCTTGTCGGCCGCTACGACGCCTGGTTCGGGAGATAACAGGGGGAGGGGGGTAAAATTTACCCCCTCCAGTCGAGCGCGTTCGGCCGGCGACCCCAGTGGGGCGCGGGTTAACCGCATGTGTGCGGCGTTTGCCAGCGTCTAACGTGTGTGTGTGTGTGGGGGGGGGGGGGCGATTGAAACCCCCCCCCCTGCTGTTCAGCCCCTGATCAAGCTAGAGCTTCGCGGAAAAAAACGAGCGTGCTGCCCGTGACGAGAGGAAGCCGATGATACCCAATTTTAAGGTCCTAGATCATTGGTTGACCTTCCAGGTCAGGTCAATGACCCAAACGTCGGGAAAATCGGGACCTGATAGAATTTCGTAAAATGAAGCTGTTATGGGGTTTTCGGGGTGCTGATCACGAATTTCATGTTAGTTTTGATCACAGATGATTTTTTCATGCATTTAGGCCAGGTCGGGTCAGGTCAGGTCGACCAGTAGGCGTCCTGCCGGCTATCCATAGTAGGTGTCAACTACCACTGACGGCGTCGTAACATGTTACGAAGGCACTAAAACTTCGTAAATGTTGAAATGAATGCCAAATTCGAAATCAGCCCGAAAAACTACCCTAGAAACATGTAAAATTCAAAAAAGTGAACCGAGGTCATCAAAGGTCAATGACCTGACCTGATCTTCAGGTGACCTTGACACCCACCGTAATGCGTGGGACAAACATCATTTCACACGTTTGGACGTTTATAATCACAAAAAGACTGGAAACGCGCGGATCATGTGAGCTGACATACGCCAAACCGCGATTCCGGCCGAACATGGTCTCGATAATCAGGTCACAGTGCAAAGGTCATTTGGGTCGGGGTCATGAAATTTTAAGAGTAGGTGTAAAATTGATCAACTCCAGCGTACTGAAAGTTTTGTCGCGATCGACTGCTTTTTGCGCGAGTTATTCGCGAAAAACCATGGGGGGTCAATCCGACCCCCCTACACATGCGAGGGTTAAGTCACCTCACGAAACACGACAAATTAGTCGACTAATATGCAACAAAATCATTGACTAATGACTGACTAATGACTAACAAACATTTTGGTTGACTGACTTTTGACTGACTAAAAAAGCGCTTGACTAACGTTAGTCGACTAATTTTTGACCTAATGACTAATATTCATTTCCACCTCTAGTTGATACAGATCGATTTTAGCCCTACACAGCTTCAAATGGCATTGGTATTCCGTAAAGGACGCTGCTGGTAGCTCACGTAACCTGTGCTATTACTCACCCGTACCGAAAATATCGGGTGCCGGTATCCAGTGCCCGCAGCCGGACCGTCCGCTCCCTCCAAACCGGTCCGGCCATGGCTGGTCCGCCCCGTCAGTGACGTCATTCGCCGAGAGGCCGCGTGACGTCACCCCTTTTTGCAGCGTGATAGTTTTCAGCGTGCATTTCAGCTGCCATCACGTCTCAGAGCCACGAATTCACCGGTCTGTCTGACTGATATCGCGACCCGGCGCGGCGGGCCGGTGCTTTCTCACGGGTCTGTGTCTGAGCGGAGCGGCTGCGGCTCGGCTGGAGTCCGTCCCGCACCGGTGTTCGTACTCCGTGCACCGTCCGATCTCCGTCCCGCGGCGGCCTCCCACCGGGTCCGGGCTGTCCCGGCGGGCAGGTGTCGCACTGTCAGACGACACGCTCCCATGTGCTGTATCGGGCACGCCTCGCGGCGGACCACATACAGCGCGCTCTTTCCGGACGGTCTGAGAGTGCCACAGATGACTGGCTGGCCCGTCTGAGTCACAGCCCCTAACACTGACCAGTTTGACTGAGTCATAACCGCTAGCATCGGTCTGACCTATCCACAGTAATCGCTGTCCGGTCTGACCGGACCCTGGCCCCCATCGTCCAACCTTCCATTGTCATTTGGCCTGTCGCGGTCCCTCACGGCGGTCGGCGTTGCTCCGACCGAGCACGTCCGTCACCCGTGTCAGTCACTGTCACCGGCCCGTCATCCGGCGCCCTGTCACTGTCGCTCGGTGACCTGTCACTCACTGGCAGCACGTGCCCGAGGGTTGGCTGTGTGGGGCGGCATACGTTGAGCTGTGCCGTAAGCCGTTGGCCCGGTAGGAATGGAGAGAGATCTCAGATTCCACCCCGTCACTGGGTGCAACGAATTATAGAGCTGCCGTAGAGCTGAAGTTCGATGATTAATTTGTGTACCAAGTAAATGTTGATGAGTATTTATAAGGTTTGTGGGAAGGTTTTTTTTTCTAGTTCAGAAGCCTGACTGGTTAACCGCGGTTCATCATGCTCTGGTGTGGTGTTTTCGCCTTCGTCGTCTTTTTAATATATTTCATTGTTTAGCACATCATTCCACTAATGAAGTATATAATTGTAACACTAGAAGATGGCCTGGGGTTGTTCTGAGACGGTCGGCGGCCATTTTCTCGGTTCCTCGTATCGCGCCGCCGCTCTGCCGGGGGCCCGCCGCGGTCCTAGCCTCTCTGATAGTGCAGTATCAGCGCTATAGATAGACGATATCGCCACTAAAACGCCGGGCCAGTGGCGACGCTTTGATGTGTTTGAACTGAGAACTCTGCGGTGGCAGCGTTCACCTCTGGCAAAGCAGGGAGGGGCCGATGTCCGATAACGTCACAAGATTGTGAAAAGTCGTATGATTTATGCCGTTGATTCATTGTCAGGTGACACTTGACAGTATAATAGAGCAGTTCGATGATATTCCGGTCAAGCATAGAGCACCGGAGGACTAGGCCGCCGAATCCCCCGTCCCCGGTGTTGTGACCCACACTCTGGCCCCCCGCCGGTCGTCCGTCGCCCGGTGATCTGTCGCTGTCGGCCGCGCTGCGTCTCTTTCCGCCGCGGTACCGCTGATCAGCCCGGGCCGGCCGCACTCCGTCCGTGTGCTGGTGCTGCGGAGAATCATCATCAACCGATAAAAACCGCCGCCGTGGCTCCGTGCCAGAGAGCGGCCCAGCCCGGCGCTGCTGCCAGGCATCCAAAGAGCTCCGCTCAGTCCGCATGGCTGGAAGCCGCCGATAAACAGAGGGCTCTCAGGGATACCTAACCGCTCGGTTCACGGCTGTAATAGGTCCTGGAAGGGGCTGGCGATTGGCGCTATTGGTGGCTACCCGTCTCATTACCGATGGCGTCCTCAGGCATGCGCCATTGGGAAGGTCTGACCGATAACCGGTAGCTACATACTTCTCAGACCTGTCGCCAGAGCTACGGAGCCGGAAACCATAACGGCACGCACTCGGTCCTCCTGAAAGCCTCCATCCATGACTTGAAATGAGTTTTCTTTGGAAGGCAATATGGGCTGTGGAGTGTACGAAAAAATTAATGTTTCTGACCTAGGGGTCACTGGCTTGCTCCTTTGTTTCATTCTATGACTGTATCGTATTGCTTTCGGGAAGCCCCATAATTGTACCTCCTGCCGGAGGTCAGCACTGAAATATGAGCCTAAAGATTATCCGTTTGCCGTGTTCGCCGTCGTATTAGATGACGTCTGTTGTCAGCCATTGGCCCCTCTCTCTGTCTTAGTCGGTGCGTTGTTCTCCCGCCCGTTATCCCTCTCCGCTGCAAGTGTTCCCGACCTGGCCCAACCTGCGCGTGTCGCGGATTTCCGCTCCATGTATCGCCGATAGTGCTGTATTAGCGGTGACACAGGCCCAGCTGTGGGTCGTCCGCTCTCTGACGGAACAGGCCGCACGACGCACAACCGTCGCTGTTCTGCGTTATGCGCTGGGTTGTGACGGCATAGGTCGCACTTGTGGTCTTGCATAAACGTGGATATGCAGCTGGCATAGAGGCTGACAAGGCCCAATTTGGCAAGTGAGCTAAACAGAATCCGGTAGGACCGGCTTTTTGTCTTAAGTCCGCAATGAATGCAAGCTATTTTGCTCGTCTTTACAGGCAGCACATCATATTACAGGCGCATTTTTAGTGTTGTGAATGGCCGTTTTAACTGTTCTGTCTAGTACCTATGTCTAGCTCTGTCTAGTTCTGTCTGGTGCGCGACTTCTTGTGACCATGGTCCTTGACTCTTGTGCTCTTTATGCCTGTACCTCCTGTCATTCTCTTCAGGCTGCAGCCGTCTCTGACTGACTGTCTCTGTAGCCGTCTATGTGCTCCTCTGCACATCAGATGTGTCCGTCTCCGCGGCCTGCACTGTCACTTTCCGTGACCAATGACCACGTCTCTGCTCCTCCCCCCTCAGATGTGTCTCCGCACCCCGCACCGTCGACCGTCTCTAACCATGTCTCTGCTCTCTTCTGCTCCGCAGATGTCTCCGCGGCTGTCGGCCATCTCTAACCATATCTATGTGCTCCTCAGACGTGTCTCTGTGGTCAGTCTGACCGTGTCCCTCCTCTTCTCCCTTAGATGTGTCTCCACGGCCCGCGCTGTCGGTCGCCTCCGCCCGAGCCCCGCGCGGACCCAGCGCCGCCTCCAGTGGTCGGAGGGCCAGCGAGGATTCGGCAGAGGACGGCACCTCCACGCCCTCCGGCAGCTTCCACCTGCGAGACGTGCGGGTCAGTGGGACGGCGGTGTCAGGGCGGGACTCTGTCCATGACGGGGAGGGGCTTGTGATGGGGGTCAGTGTGAGACTGATCTAAACGGTTCTGGTTAAGCAACTGTAAACCTCAAACCGTTGGTCAGGTGAGCTGAGCGGAGAGTTCTATTGTCATGTGATGTGTGCCAGAGTGTCGTACCGATCGCTATGGTAAGGATGCCAAGTATGTCCGAAGGGCATGCCGGTATGGTTTGCCGCCACCGAGCTGACTGTTTTGTGTCCGTCCCACTTCAGCATGAGCTGCGTGAGCTGGAGGAGAAGCTGCGGAAGACGATGGTGACGTCTGCGCAGCTGGACAACGACAAGTCGACGCTGAGCTACCAGGTGGAGCTGCTCAAGGACAAGCTGGAGGAGATGCAGGAGTCCCATACACAGCTGCAGGTAACAACACATGGCGAACAAGGACTACAGTAGAATCCGCTTAATAAATCCTCGTATAATAAATCCAGCCGCTTATTGTGGCCACTTGAGCTGACGCCCCGCGCTGGGAAGATCATGTAGATGTAGAAGATATTGCAGTAGAAATGTGAAAATGTTCAATGCAATGCATTGGTAACTGAGGAGGCCATAGCCATGGTATGTGTTTATAGTGTCTGGGAATCGCGGGTTTTATTTGTTGCTTTGCTCGCTCTCTGTTCTGAAAAGTGGATTATCGCTGTCTAAAAAGATGTCATATTATGTAGTGTCTTTGTATCAATCATAGTCATAAGGCTACAGTCACGTACTAACCTGTACTCTCTTTCCCACAGCGGGAGCACCGAACACGATGTAGCGAACACGAACAGCTAAAACGGGTATCGAATAGGCTAAAGGAGGATTACGAATGCTGTAAAAAGCTACTAGAAGAACGAGACAAACTTATTGCGGTAAGTGGATGTCGGTGTTCTGACAAATCGTGATTAGTTACTGATTTGTACTGCATGTAGGTGAAGTGAAGAGTGAACCTCAAACAAGATTCTTGATTGTTAAAACATTGTTCGTAGTGCCTAAGTCACATGTGAACTGTACCGTCGCACTGCGTTCTGGGCGACGTTCTATTGCATTACCTCCATCTGTCACAATGTTCTAGTTGTTAACTTTTGTATAAATTGCTCCCTTTTGTTGTTGACACAATGGATTGAATTGCTTACTGCGCTCAGTCCCTGCAACAGACTTCACGACTGCTGAATTGGAAAGAAGTTAATTGGCAGATTGTGAATGATACCGGCACGAGCTCCTTTCGAAGACTTTCACTGTGACAACTGACCGTGCCTCGGGGGAACAGGCTGATAGTTATAGCTAGCAGACTCTCATCCTGACCCCCCAGATCGGCCTGGTGCTGGTCGGTGACCAGGACTCTGACTCTATACTGACTGTGACTCTGACTCTCAGGAGAACGGCCTGGTGCTGGTGGGCGACGAGGAGGACTCGGAGTCAGAGTCGTCTCCGGACACACAGCGGCCGCAGAAGGCGCTCGTCTCACAGAACGCCGCCCAGCTGCTCGAAAAGGCCGGCGGCGGCACACTCGGTAAGCAGAGTTGTGGTATGAGATATGCGTCATAGGCGGGAGGGCATGATATACTTGCCGTAGACAAGGAAAGTCAGGGGAACCTTTGGGAGACAGGGAGAGGTGGCGCATGCGGGGTAGGCAGGGAGGCGCGTATGTATTCTCTAGGCAAGGAGGATTTTGTAGCACCCCACGGCCACCAAATGAGGTGAAGGCGGTCACCCGGATGTAAATCATTTTTTATATTCCTACTGCTGATAGTTTTATCCGCTCGTAGTCTGCCTGATTCACGGACGCTCATCACTCCCCTATGGCTACAAGTAGGAGACCTCTGTCGGCCCCTACTCCATAACCACTAGAGGCAACCGGCTGCGGCAGCTGGGTGAGGATCACCCGCGACTATGAGATATCTGACGACTCCCTCCATCACCCACCACAGACAGCCGGCTGTGGTGGCTGTGTGGGACGCGGTTAGGGTATATCTGACACATTTCCTTTCCTTCCCACCACAGACAGCCGGCTGCGGCGGCTGGGTGAGGAGAAGAACGAGCTGGAGGACCAGCTGCGCCGACTGAAACTGGAGCTCGAGGAGGAGCGGCACATGAGCGCCCGCGCGCGCATCTCGGGCTCCGGCGGCGGCGCCGAGTCTGACCAGGTGCAGCGCGAGGTGGCCCGACAGGTGGGCGAGTACCGGTTCAAGCTGCAGAAGGCCGACCAGGACATCACCAACCTGCAGACGGCGGTGAGTGACCGGTGCATACCGCGTCATTGACGTGAGAGTGAATACAGATCAGTGAAATCACTTTTAGAGGGAGATTCTCCTCACTGCTCTGACAGGCAGATTGTGTCAAGTGGTGACCCCATGGCCCACTTACCAGACTAGAATGTGTTCACTTTTTCACGTATTCTAGTTCGCAGCAGGATGGTGTATGAAGGGTGAACTGGTGACTGGCCTTAGGTTATATTGCTGTTGGCATAGATGACGGTAGGCCAGGCTTACTCTAACATCATATCCAGCCGCCTGGTCTCTGGAGATTGTGGTTAGTGATCTCCAAAATTTTTGCCTAGAGCTGATAAAAACAGATGATCTTCTTGCCTTGATAGCTGGCTTTAATCATTGATATGACCTGTTCGTGTGACTTGCCCTGTCGTTGGAACCTCCGCCCACCGCTGTGTCTATGCCTGCTGTCGCTGCTCCCTTTCCCTGCCCGCACACTGCCCCCGCACTGTGCGCTGTCCCGCCCCGCTGACCGCTCGCTGCGTCCCCTCTGCAGGTTCAGCGGCTAGAGAATCAGGTGGCGCGGTACAAGGCGGCCGCCGAGACGGCCGAGAAGGCAGAGGAGGAGCTCAAAGGGGAGAAGCGCAAACTGCAGAGAGAGGTACGGACGACGCCCGGGTGTGGGGAGTAGTCCGGTGGGTGTGGGTGCAGGTGTGGGTGTGATGATGGGTACAGAATGTGTTGAGTTTTGGGTTACGAATATGGCATGGGGAGGCGCGATGGGGCTGGATGGTGGAAAACTGTGGCTGACAGGAGGAATATTCTGTCCGGCACAGTTACCTATAACTGATGAGGGGCTGGTGGGACCGCACGAATGGTGAGTGGGGAAACTGTCTTGTTTGCTCCGGGTATTGGTACCATGTCTTGGTTCCGTCTGCAGTTGTGAGACTAAAAGGTGGGAACTGTTAATGACGGGAGCTGGGCCTTGCTTGGTGTAACTGAGCGGCTGTGTTGGATGGTGTGTCAGACTGGTGCATGAATGGTGGTGGTGAGGTGGCGGGAACCTGATGGTTATACTGGTGCCGTATGACTTGACGCCGGGATAAGAGCAATTACTGGGTCAATATGACTGACTGCTGGCTGAGACGGGAGTCTTGTTGGTCGTATTGGGGTCGTATGCCTGTTGACTGGGACTGGCGCACGGTGGATGGGCCCGTGTGACTGCTGACTGGGGACCGGTACCCTGTTCGGTTGTACGGCGTGTCATATGTGTGCGTGTCTCGTCCAGCTGCGCGAGGCCCAGCAGCAGGTGGACGAGCTGGACAGTGCCAAGAAGACGATGGAGCGCCAGCAGCGGCTGCGTCGGCTCTAACCGCCGTCACACGGTGACTGGGTGTGTGTGACGTCGTGACCGACACGGCAGCGTGACCCGACCCGACGCTTGGTGCCTGCAGTCCCGTGCTGACCCGCCGCGTTTGGTCCGTGTGTGAAGCTGCCTGGTTAGCGTGATTCGTCTGCAGTGTGTGATGTCCGTTTCAGCTACCTCCGCGAGGCTTACACCAGCTACAGACGGGGCGTGCTGTAGGGTTTGACCCGAGTGGTGTGTTGCTGAAATGTAGCTGGAGTAGCCCTAGCTAGCATTAGATATAACACTGGTCTGAAGACAGCTATCAAAGCTAATGAGCAAGACAGAAGCAGCCTCAATGAAACGATTGTTTTTTAGCCGCAGGTCTGATTTAAGTAGTTAGCTAATTCACCGAGTGCAGTGACCATGTGTAAGGCGTAGCTCAAGCTCCTGAAGTGCGTATTTCGGCTAACCATTCTCAGTTTTCAGGCACTACCATGAATCGTGAGGCTTTGGTCCAATGCCTGTGTTGTTCTTGTCGCTGTCATGGCCTCCAACAGATGCTACAGCAATGCAGACGACGTGCCTGCTTCATACCACGGTCTCCGCCGGGGGTCTTGTGTTGATCGCTTCTTTAGTGTGGCGTGCTTTCATATCGCTTCATCAGGTTATGCCAACAACGGAATTTAATCTAAAAATGTTCCGTTGTCGTGTGCCTTTGGCTTTAATTCCGTCACTCTAAACGTCTCAAAGTTATAAAGCCGCCGAGGTGTCTGTGTAGCGTGTCGGCATGCTGAATATGGAATTAGTGTGTAACGCTTTGCTTGTTTCCCCAGCTCCGGGAATCAATAACTCGAGTGGACGAGCTGGAAACCACCAACAGCCACCTCCAGAAGCGGCTAGACAAGCTGAAAAACGCGCGATCAGCGCTGCTCAAAGACCTCTCGACCGAGTGACGAGTGACCCAGTGACAGTGACGCCGCCAGTGACTTGTGCAGTGATAGCGGGCGGCCAGGGACTCCGCGCCGAGCCGCTGCCCCGCGCGCCGCACAGACACCGAACGGGCGACCGGCGGACTGTGCGCCACGCCCGGTGCGCCCCCTGGCGTCTCGTGGTGCGTCCTGCAGTGCGGCTATCGGCGCGTTCGGGCGCCGGCGCCGCGACCCGGTGAGGCCGACAGGGGACCTCCGTCCGGCCGCCGTGCCGCCGCTGCCGCGCCGACCAGTGCCAAAGTGAGGACCGTGCCCGTTCCGGCCCGGCCCGGTCCGGTCTGAGTCCGACCCTGGTGCGAGCCACCCGCCTGTCCTCGCTGCGCGCTTGTTGATATTGCCTGAGCTTTAACAAGTGCTCAAAGCAAACCCTGCAGTTCTTATTCACCCTCGCGGTGAAATGGTCATATGTTGTTCTGATCAAATCATGTAAATTGTTGAACTTCAATGTCTTCGTTGTCCGTTACTTTTGCTACACTTTGCTGTTAGTTTCTGTCTCATTCTTCGGGGCCGATTCTGTGATCGCAACCAGGGATGAATTGCTCCTTTCATTACAAGTGCCTTCTGGCATAACTATGCGTATTTTCTTCTGACTCTGTCCCTCCTGAACTGTACATCAGATTGGCTGGCGTTGGTCGGATGATGAGTGATTTTAACGAGAGGCAGCTTCGTTTTAGCTGCGGTCGCCGCCGGCACTGCGGTCTAGGTCGGGGCGAGAGCCGGCGACCTGGACTGACCGGCTCTGCTGAGGTGCGGGCCGGACGCTAGGCTTCGTCTCGCTGCCACTGTCTGTGAGGAGAGGCATCGTGTAATTTTTATGAGGCGAGTGGTCTGCAGTGAGCCGAATGCTGGCGTATGCGTGCGTGAGCGTGCATGAGTGCGCGCGTGTACGAATGGCCCCTCCCAATTTTGTTACGTATTAGCTGATTTATACTGAGTATTAAATTTAGTAGTTGGTCGTACATTCTGTTTATTGTAATATAAGTAACAGATGTGCGCAAATGAGAGATGAATCAATCTTTGGGCCTTGGGGAATGGTTAACGGATGGCACATGCATGGTAACTACGTGAGATTTGCCATGGGTGTCCCTGTTCCTTATCCTGTTTGAAAGCCTAGTGCAGCGAGAGATGCAACATCCTATCGTTGGTCGCGGGCGTTTAGGTGTTTACAAAAGCCGAGTGACATGGGAAGGTTGCACGCTAAAGACAGTGATTCAGGACTTCGTATGGATTTGGCAATGGGCCCGCGGTAGTAGTGAAGGCTATCTGGACCTGGAGCATTCAAGGCAGACGAAGTGCCATTTTATCGTCTTTTACCCCAGCTGTGGTGCTAGGTCAACATGCTTAATGTTCAACTCCTTGAAGAGCAATGCCGAGACGGCACTTTCAGCGTTCTGTTTGCCTTTTTGGAGGTAAAATATGCTAGTTAGTAGCTCGTAAGGGGGTTCGTTTACCTTACAAACATCATGCATAACAATAAAGAGAACAGATAATGGCGCGCTCGTACTCTGGGTTTTCCCCAGTCCACTGTTGCGTCTCTTTCGAGCAAGATTACTTTACTAATAGTTTCGAGAGCTTCGCACAGGCGTTGTCTGCCTGCCCGGCGGGTTTTCTGCCACTGCCGCGCAGGGCACGATGAATTTCCGATCGATGGGAGCCATTATCGATCTATTCTTTATGGTGTCCGTCTGTAATCTATGCGGAAAAACTTCCGTCCACAGTGGCACACGGCGGCTTTATTATGTAAATAAACATTCCCGCAAAGCACCTGCAACACAGTGCCACGATCACACTCGCGTCTCGCCGCGCCGGGCGGTATAAAACTACCGCTCTGAGCTCTGAGCTCTGAGCCGCGGGCGCGCTATGATTCCCAGAGAGAGTGAATAAAGGCGCACAGCGGCCAACAGTGCACAGCAACACGACAGGACAGCACTGCAAAGGGCCGACAGCGGCCGTAAAGGAATGAGATCTGAATCTGGTGATACAGAGCGTAGCGTAGGTAACGTGGTGACTAATAATAATGTAGAGCAGCCGAAGGTTAGGATCTCTGGCCGAGTAGCTCACAAGTATTCGCGAAGAATAACATGACGGCGGTACAAATGGCAAAACTAGCCTTTACCGCTGGCACCAAATGTGGAGTGGTAAACATCTACGGACACGAAGCAGCGCACGCGAAAAAAGCATCAGGTTCTAAAGAAAACTGCAGATCAAAACTCACTCTCACGGCACTAAAGAGTCAAATAGACTGAGAGCTCACTCAGATGTGGATTAGAGTCCCCGTAATAGCTATATGCGCTTGGGATAATATGAAATGTGATGTTCATTGCTACCCTATTTTCATATAAAGCCAGGCGAGGTAAAATACGTCACTATGTTTAAAATCGGTATCACTCATATAAAATGACAGCTTCCATTCCATTCCAGCCACAAGTCCTAGCTTTAACAGCCTCGTGTGCAAATACTTTAAGAGGACCCGCAAACACCTCTGACGAGCGATCTGTCACGAATTAGAGGGCGAATAGTTTGGTCTGCGCACAACCATTCCATAGCGATGATCTACAGATAGCAATAAACACGACAGTCAACTGCGAACTAGCGATATAATAGTTCACACATGTATAAATGTGCTGAGTCATGATTGAAAAGCTCCAAAAGTTCTATATACTAGCTATATAAACTGCATAAATCACCATTGCCACTGAACAAACCCACTCCGAACACGCATAAAACAGTTCAATAGATAAAATACAGCACATCACACTAGAGCCAAAAGGCAGCAGTATTTTGTGGCAAGGCACAAGCAGTCTTGTAGAGCACGCACCGAGCCGCATAAATCCACACCCGAACCCCGACTGCGCGCGAGTTCACGTCAGAACACTGCCATCACCGGGACGCAGGGATGCACCCACCGCTCGGCGGCACTAAGTTCTTATGTCGATGAGACACCCTCCCTGCACCGTCCCACGGCTGCCAGCCGCTAATAGGTGTCGCTCCGGTGAATGTCATCCTTCCGGCTTCCACCGGTGTTCAGTGTGACCTCTCCAGTCCCGAACCCCGACCAGTTGTGACACTAGACCCCAGTTCCGCGTCCGCAGTATCTCCTCTCCAGGACCCCACCTCAGACCGCTGCCATGTCGGCGTCGGCCACCACCTCCACCGTCAGCTTTCCCGGCCGCCGCTCGTTGGCCTCCGCCCGCGTCTTTCCGAACAGGTTCAGCTCGAACTCGGTCACGTTACCCGGAGAGTTATCCGCCCGTAGAGTGGCCTGGCCCATGAACTTGTCCTTGAGCAGGCAGCTGTTCCATACCTGCGGATAAGTTAGAGCAGAAAGCGGGGTATGTCAACGGATAGCACCCTTAAACGCTAATGGCAGCGACCACTGCGCAGACAAGGCAAGCTTATCCATACACCCGAAACACACTATCAGAGATTAAAGGAACTATCCCACCTTCTAAAATGTTGTTAAAACCAGTTAAATTGTGCCCGACTTTAAAGATTGGATGACCAGGAACACGGTTCTGGCATTTATTTTTCATTAAACATCTTAGGCTTCCCATATTCCAAACACAAACTTTCAAATATGTGACGTCACAGCCCAAAATTACCTCCTTCCCCAGGCCACATTACTGTCATAAAGCTGATTCTTTTTACTCTGTAGGCACCACAACAAAGTTCAGACCAAGTTTTAAGCGATTTTTCAACGAACAAACCCATTTAAATCAGAATGACTAAACGAGGTGACGTCACACTAACGGTCGCTCCATGTTGAAGATAGGGCCTTGCGCAAGGCCCATTTTCAAATGAAGGGAACGAATTTCTTCAACACCAAGAGGCCGCGGGGGTTGCAACCTAGATAGATAGTGGTTTCTGAACCTCGCCGCAAACTTGGCTATCTCAACTCAAACCCCATGTTAAAGGTGGGATAGTCCCTTTAAGAGTCAAGTGATATCAAACAGATATAAATACATCATCAGAGTTCTCAAGGCTAGTGGTATCTGCAACAAATAGAACAGGTAGCTTAGCTAATCACACCGCCACAGTCACACATGTACCTGTATTTTGATGGGCGTCAGGCCGGTGCGGTAGAAGATGGCCTTGCAGTTCCAGGTGGGGTTGAGCGACTCTTTGACGGGAGGGGAGCGCACCTTCGTCTTCCCGCAGCGGATAATCACGTAAGGGTCGGCCGCTGGTCGAGGTAAGGGGTCACGGGACGGATCAGATGCTGTCACAACCGGTTACCAATGGCCATGGCGCTAACTAACACAGGGATGCGTCACAAATATAACGTCATTTCTAAGTGCAGCCTGGCTGGTTGTTGATAGAAGACCTTACATCAACAAAAAGGTACGCTCAGCTAGTTTGAATTAATCAACTGGAACCCTCTCATTTTAAATGATGGACTTAAACGTTTATCACAACTTAAAATGCCAGCCAGCATCAAATTTGATTGCTTACGAACAACAGTTTACCAATATTCCAAGAAAGTTTCGGATATTTAATTTGTTTAATCAGATTAATCATCAAAAGAATCCAGATTCCCCCGTACTGGTGCAGTACGCCGCTACCAAAAGCCACCCGGCCAGCGCTGGGTGCTCGGTGACTGCACTCACAGCCGAGCGAGTCCTGTTTCTCGAGTCCGGTGCCGCTGACTACTTTGACGACCACCACTCCGTTGGCGGGGGTGAAGCACGGCCAGCAGCTGGGCTTGGGCTGCTCCTTCACCAGCTCCCTATAACACAGAGGGAGGGCGGTCAGGTCAGGTCAGGGCAGGTGACGTTGGGTAGGTCAAATGGCGGCAGCATTTGCAAGTCAGGCGCGCTGGACAGAGGCCACAGACGGCGGCTGTGAAGTCCATATGACCCGATCCGGCTAGCAGTTGTCGGCGCGATGAACGTCTCTCACTGATTAGGGTCCTGCTGTGTCCCATGTTAAGTGAATGGACAGTTTTGCAGAGACGAAGCTGCAGCTGTGATTGACTGTCAAAAGTTGAAACTCCGGCCAGCCACTAAGTCCCAATAAACAAGCCAACATGATTAGACAATCGTAGACAAATGATGTCCAGATGCGAAGTGCCAGCACTGACCTGAGCTGCGGATCGCTGCCCATGAACAGCCGCAGCATGAAGTCTCCGTTCTCGCCCGGTGAGAACGTGGTGGGGACGAGCACATAGCGGCCGCGCGACAGCTGATCGCGCCAGAAGATACTGCGCGACCGTATGTAGTCGGATGTGGCGGCCGACTCCTGGATCCGGTGCACCCGATACTGACGGTTCACCTCCACCTGAGGGAAGGTGGGGGAGGATGTCAGGCAACAAGCTACGGGAAACCTAGTGGAAAGCGCAAATAATATAGGCCACTCAGCATTGAGCAATGGAGTGCAGATAACGCGGCAGACCATGAAGAGGGAATAGCTCATACGTGTAACAAATGACAGTCGATATAGCAGCCAGATCTTACGAAATATTTAAAAATCACCCTGTAAGCATAGTAAGATTGTAGTAAGCTTTTCACTACATTTACTACATTACATTTTCCATACAATCTGCTGTTAGATTACTATTTCTAAACTACATTTAACTTTAATTTTACGCTCGATTTAACGCCAAAATCGAGCTCGAAATTGATCACCCGGAGACAGCTACAGACCTTCATGATGTGGAAGCCGATGCAGAGATTGAGCGCGCCCTCGTGCTTCTTCTCCCGCTGATCCTTCTGACTCAGCTGGACAATGACCTCCTCCACTTCATCTTCCACATCGAAACGGTACTGAAATAAGCAAAAATGAGTATCAGTCACATAATAGAGGAGTGATCGAGGAATGTGTAGTCACCAACCTTGTGAGCTAAGCGTGAAAAGCAAGGACAGCACGTGTAAACCGTTACATAACATTACCACATGTGGAAAAGAATGTTTGACTGAAGAGCTGCATTACATTATTTGTACACTGCAGGCAGTGGAACGCAAAGACGGTCCAATGCCCTCCAAGTCGTTGACTGCGTAGTG